CCATATAATTGTTTGTGTTGATTGGAGGTTGATTAGTTGATTGGGTGAACTGTTATTCCCCATGTTTTCTTTGTGTTCTGTTTGCTTTTAATGCTTAGATAATGAAGGTTGCTTGGTTATTTTTTCAACTATAGACTCTTTTGATATATCCTTGGTCAAACAAAAATATCTAAATATCTTGAGAGCAGTTGTCCTAATTTATTAATTATCAAGCTCCTATTTGTGATGTGTCCTTGTCAGACAAAAATTTCTTGAGAGCAGTTAATGCTAAATTCAGTTATCAAGCTAAAATGTGCATATGGGAAGACTATTATCAGTGGCTGCACAAAGTACAGGCCAAAATTTTAGCCTTGGAATAAATACTATTTGCAGTAATTCATAACTGAAGTTGATAATTTATCTTAAATAATATCGGTTTTCGCTTCTAGAGATTCTGCTTATGGTTTGTGGATGATTGAAAGGCTAATTTTATAGAACCATACAAACATAGTATTTAACTAGCTTTTTGCACAATTGATGTATAATCAAGTACAGTTTTTCAATCATCGAAACTAAAATAATTCTTCGTTTTGGCACTTTTATGCAGGTTTAATATTGTTGGCCAGGTACACTTTTCAACAAATTATAAGTTTTCCATCCTCGAAATTTCTCATTACTTCATTTGTGAATTTAACGATATATATCTCTTCATACGTGTATATTTTTTTTCCTTCTGCAGTGGGCAGTCACGACAAGTGTCGATTTTTCATTGGCACAGTTGATTCAAGTGATAATCCTCCTCAGCACAGGTGGGAACAATGGAGGAGGATATATGGCATCTAAGTACATTGTTATTGCAATTCATGCCGGTATTTTGCTCTTGCATGCTGCCCTTAACAGCCTTCCTATATCTTGGTTATCGTTTTTCGGACAATTTGCAGCTGCATGGAATGTTTTAGGTACTTACTTTAGAGACAAGTTCTTTTTTTTTTTTTTTTCNCTCAGAGCTGTGAATTTAGTATTTTTTTTTTTCACTTCTTTTAAAATTTGCTTTTTTTTCAGGTGTTTTTGTTCTTATGATACTCATTCCATCGGTCGCAACTAAAAATGCAAGTGCTGAGTATGTTTTCACCCATTTTAACACTGACAATGGAAGAGGAGTCAACAGTAGATTTTACATATTCATTCTTGGACTTTTGATGAGTCAGTATACCCTATCAGGGTATGATGCATCTGCACACATGGTAAGTTAGCATAGTCGAATGTTGAATAGTTTGAAAATTTCATTCATCTAATTATTATATGTCTAGTACATTATATGATTAAATAAAGAAAATTAAATCTGTTGTTAGGTTGAATATTCAATTTTATTTTACATTTTCGAACTAACCTTTTGGATTTATCTATTTATTTTTTCAGACAGAGGAGACTAAGAACGCGGATGAAAATGGGCCAAAGGGAATAATAAGCTCCATTGGCATATCTATAATTGTGGGTTGGGGTTATATACTTGGAATAACCTTTGCAGTGACCGATATTCCGAGCCTTTTGAACCCGGAAAACGAGGCAGGTGGCTATGCCATTGCCGAGATATTTTACCAAGTTTTCAAGAGTAGATATGGAAATGGTGCTGGTGGAATAGTTTGCCTTTGTATAGTTGCAGTTGCTATATTCTTCTGTGGCATGAGTTCGATCACTAGCAACTCTAGGTAGTTTGTAATTTTTTGATCTTTTTTATTTTTTATTTTTTCAAATTTTTATTCTTTTTTTGTGAAAAAAAATGTGAGGAAACTTATTTGGTAATGTCGATATATCAGGATGGCGTATGCATTCTCAAGAGATGGTGCCATGCCATTTTCGGAGTTTTGGCATAAGGTGAACAAGCAAGAAGTCCCCATAAATGCTGTTTGGATGTCGGCATTGATAGCGTTCTGTATGGCACTTACGGTATTATTTTCCCTCTTCCTAACTTTTATGATTGAGGTTTAGTCTAATTTGATTGAAAAAATGTATGGAATAATATGCTAATGAAAGTACAAATACCCATTTTAGTGTATTACTAAAACCACCTGAGATTTGTGTTTTCTTGTCTTTCAGTTTTCACTTCCCACGTCCCAATCTCTTTGAATCGATTACAATTTGTAGAGTCGAAGCATTTCGAACAGGCATTTACAATTTGAAAAAAAAAAAGACCATTAACTTGACCAAGTCTCAAATTAGTATTCTTGATCTATGATAACAAACTTATCTTTGTTTCCCCTTTTCTTTATAATAATTAGAAAAAATATTACACATATAGTCGATCTATACTGACATAAATGGATCATTCTTTTAAAGCAATGTGACTGCCTAACCATTAGGCAATATGCAGTTTTTGCCTTTGAAAGTATGACATTTGAGTGTGAAAGTATGTAGATTTGTTGAAACAGTATGACTGTCTAACCATTAGGCAGCCTAACAGAAAATCACGTCTCTCGTCACTCTTTCTACAAAATGCTAATATGTTAAATAATAATTATCTTCATTTACCCATTTGCAGTCGCTCGGGAGCTTAGTCGCATTCCAAGCCATGGTATCAATTGCCACAATTGGCCTCTACATAGCTTATGCCTTACCAATCTTTTTCCGAGTGACCTTAGCTCGAAAATCTTTTAATCCCGGGCCTTTCAACTTGGGGAAATACGGAGTTCTCATCGGTTGGATTGCCGTTATATGGGTGGCAACAATTTCTATCCTTTTCTCGTTGCCCGTTGAGTATCCCGTTACGCCCGAAACGTTAAACTACACACCAGTTGCTGTTGGGGGACTTCTCATTCTTACAGTGTCTTCTTGGGTTTTCAGTGCACGCCACTGGTTTAAAGGACCTATCACGAATATAAGTAGCTAAAATATTAGTTTTTATTTATTATTGTGCATTGTGTTTGTCCTTCTTGGACTTTATGGAAATGTGTTGTGATAGAAATGTGGGTTGAATTCTAGTGGTTAGTGGTGGTATGTTTTATTTTTGGGGCTAATTGCAATTTGGGTCCCCATTATCATATGTTAGCAATGAACATATGAATTTTTCAATTTATTGCTGATGTAAGGCGAAAAAATAAATAAATAAATAAATAGTTTTATTATTTGGTTTACTCGATTACATGGTTGAGCAGATTGTGGTAGTTGATAGTGTTGGGTGTGTGCGTGCATACTTATCTTTCGGGATGACAAAAGAACAATTGTCAAATAGATGTGTTTTAAAATATGTATCATATGGATTGCATTTGATTTATCCAATAAATCAACACTCTCACAAAAATACTAACCCTAACGAAAAATACAACAAAAATAGAAACACAAAAACATCTCACCTCCGACAAAGAAAAATACCAACCCTAACAGGAACACAACAAAAATTACACAAAGAAAACAAAAACACAAAATTATAAGGGTTTACCGAATTGGGGAGAAAAGGGGGACAAGATTTGAGGGATGAGCGAGAAAGTAGATCTAGCATAATTATTAAAGTTGATATGATTAAAAGTAGTAAAATAATAATTTTAAATGGATGATAGTTAAAAATATGTTAGTAGATAAACAATGAATTTTATATTATTGACCTAATTATATTGATAAAATCACATATAATTAAATTAGATCAGATTAAGATTGAATTTTGATTAAAAAAAACAAAAACTTATTCGTTGAGTTAAAAGTTTTATTTTCCAATGGCATCATATAATTGAAACAATACAAGAAGGCGTCGTTTACTTTGCGAGATGAGACTATATAATGAAAACTGTCACCCCTTGTACAGTATTTATTTTCCTGGATTGGGATGAGATTGATCCCACTTGGCGCACATGTGGACTGCAGGCCCACTGCTTATCAAATATTGGATGATTAAATTAGTTCTGCCCTCCACTCGAGATCTTTTTATTCTAATTTTTCCTTTACATATTTGCGGGTCCCACTGTTTCAGACAATCCCATCATATAAAGTAAACGTGGGACAAATTGTTGACGTATAAAGTATCTTTGATTAATTTATCTAATCCCATCACATAAAATAAACAACCCCTAAAATGATTAATTTGATTTTATTTAGGCGATTTCCCCCTTTTTCTTGTCCTTTTCAGCGATTTGGGTAGTCGCACCCTATTTATATTAGTATATTAGGAATTCAAAATTTCGAGCAACTGCATCCAAACAGAGGGCTACGGTACACTCAAACGGCACTCTTTTCTTCTTCTTACAGATACTATAGATAGCATAGATACAGATACATACACACAGACAGCAGAGGATAGCTTCATCAATGGTACGAATCCCTTGGCCCTTTCGTACCTTCTTCTATTCGTTCACAGAAACTTTGAATTAAGCTGATTAGGGCATGTTTTTCTCCTTTCCCCCCTTTTAAATTAACATCGTTATTGCACAAATTCGTAGGATGATCTACAGGAAGAATTTGAACCCCTCTTTGATTACACTCGCATTCAGCCGACCAATTTTGTTTGTCTCGATGGTAAGTTTATCTTTCTTTCTTTCTTTCTTTCTTTTGTTGGTTCAAATATTTTTACATAATCTTTTGTTTTTCTCTTTTATTGAATGGATTATTGTTGTGATTTTGGGGGTCGATAGATGATAGCCTTGATGAATCGACGATATTCATCCCGAAAAAGCGGAAAACCTCGGATGCTGAGGTGAAAATAAAGATCCCTTTGTTTGTGCTTTAATCTTTCTTCTCTTTTTTTTTTTTTTNTAAACTTCTGTTGAATGGTGTTTTTTGGAGTAATATAGGAAGGAAATAAACTTAAGAAGGATGTGAATGCAAAAGATGCAATCTTGATTGATTGTGATGGTGATAGAAATGACAAGGCCGAGGATTGGCTGCCGCCACCACCACCAAAGGATTTAGATCGTAGTTTTAAGATTTTGGAGGATGATCCAACTTTGAAGGCCTTGAGGTTTGCGGATAATGGGAATTGTGTTCGTCGTTTTTTTTCTGCATATCTTTTATTGAGTTTGATCGTATTAGTATCACAGACATCATAATTTATACAATTTTAGTCATTATTTGCATACAATATATGACATACACTATTTGAATAGAACTTCATCTATGCAGTGAAAACAAAAACCTTTCTTGCTTGTTTGTTTTGATCAAAATTACATGTTAGAGAATGAATATTTGATCATTGCAATTTTTATTAGAAGTCAATTTTTTGTTTGCTGATTGTAAATGCTCTTCTGTGAGTTGTGACTGGGTGGAGATGAATATTTTCCTCTGCTCATTCATGGATACTCTGAGATATAACTGCAAAACGTAATGATATCTTTTTTCAGACATTTATCTTACTCGCAAATATGTGTTATGCAGTACAATATACTGAACCTGGTGCTGTTTGCAATAGTCATAGAAAACATTATTTCATTTTGACAAATCCCACAAGCGTGTGGTAAGTGGGAGTACGATATACCAGGGAGAAAATTACTTTGGGAAGCATATGTGATGTCGCTATTTAATAGTGTTTAGAAAATCTGTTTGTTTTGTCCAGTTACTGTGTCTCTGAGTGCCTTGTTCTTATTAGATTAAAAAGGCAAGAACTAGCATCTTTTACCATGTCAGCCGATGAGTTGGTACGTGCTGTTGAAGAATCTGTAAAGAAAAACTTTAATGCTGAATCACAATCTCCTCCTCCTAAAACTGTCAATAAAGAGCCCCTAAAGCCTCCTAAAGAGAGGTCAAAACTTGTTATATCAATCCAAGACAAAGAAGAGCATAAGCAATTCCGGGTATACAAGGTAATCTTACTAATTTAGTTCTTGGTATTTAATGAAGCTAAATTTACAGCCGCTGATGGTTTTCCTGAAGAATAAGAGCTATCTGCGTTTTCACCATCTGAGTAGTGATCTAAAGAGATTTAAGTTTACCTTTAGTAGTTAAACCTAAGTAGAGAATTATAAAACTATTCTACAGTTTGAACAATGTTTAAGCCTTTTCTCAAGGGTTGTGAACATTTTTCACTTATGGGACGATTGTGTTAGGACTCGATACAGCTATATAGCCTGTCATTATAGTCTCAATTCTCTTTATGATATCATCATTTTTTAGCAAATTGGAGTGTTTTTTTTTTTTTTTTTCNTTTTTTTTTTTTTTTTTCCTTTTTTGTCTTCATTTGTATTATGCCAGCAAAAATATACTTTAAATCTTGCAAGTGCTTGTTTCATGAAGCGCTGAGAGTATCTTATTCAGGAAGCCTGATTTGTATCCAAACCGTGTTAAGATATGTAATTAACATCTGGCTTGAGTATTAATACATTTGAACATGTGTTTCTATTTACTGCAAACTATATAGCATGTTATTTTCACGTACTTGATCCTTTTACAACTCATTTTTCCTTTTTTTCTTTTTTCTTTCTTTTAGTTATGCATTCTGCATCTGATAGTAGTTGTCCTGTAATTATAATAATGCTGTCTGTTATGTAAAATATTTTTCTTTTTAATTATTTCTGCATCGCCATAATCATGCAGGATGATAAGTTCGAGCGACTCTTCAAGATGTATGCAGGCCGGTGTAAGCTTGATGTGAAGAACCTAGTTTTCTGCTTTGATGGTGATAAAGTTAGTCCATCTGAAACTCCTGATAGTCTTGGTATGGAGGATGATGACATCATTGAAGTGCATGTCAAGTCAAGTTGATCCCGGTAAAATAGCTTTCTGGATGACTTCTTCTCTATTTCTTTTAATAAGCAATGCCTCTTTTAGTTGTTCATGAAATTAAACTGATATTATGGTCATATTAATTGATTCCAGATATATATATATATATATATTTTTTCATTTATAGAAAGAAATGTTAATTTAGTTCTTGGTATCAATTAATGAAAACATTGCATGTTTTTATTAATGTGCATTGGACCTNATATTGTTTTTGAGATTATTCGACTGTATTGCTAACTCTTTGATGCCTGATTTCTTCCAGGGTTTTGAGTCAACCAACTATTTTGCGAGTTAACTTTTACCGTGTGAGATATAGTCCTTTCTGTCTTGGTGGATGACTCTGTATGAATTATCTCGTTCACTCCATCTTTGTTGATGTCTTTTGCCCGGCAAGCGTAGGTTATTGCCTTTTGTTTTTGGATGATGGATAAAATTTTGTGAAAACTTCTAGTTGGAAGTGTGCTTCCAGATTCTTGTTTACATGAAAATTTAATCAATGATTTGTGCATTCAGTGGATACTGATGTTTGTTTGTACATGGGAAACTTGTAGCTGATGAGTGACCAAGTTAAACTTTAGTTTTTGTTGTTCTTTTTTATTAAGACTTTTGTTTTTGTCTTGTGGAAAATCTTGAAATACTCAAATGTGTCGTTTAAATTATTGAATTTCAAGCTCGATTAGTTGTTCGACTTTGACTAGTTTAAATATTTAAGAAAGCCAAGCTCTAACTTTTACAAGTCGAATTAAACTGTGTTAGAAAACAACTCGATTCGAATAAGAACATATTTTATGGCTCAGGGTGGAAATTTTTTCTGGCTACGCCTCTCGATATGGGCTTTGAAGTGATTTTAAAATGGAAATTTAAAGTGGAGAATCCGTTACACAACGTTCCAAATTTAATTTACACTAATTTTATATTATTGAGAAATTTAATTACACTAATTTCATAATTTTTATTATTTATTTATTTTTATCTATTTATGATTATTATTAATTGAAATTCTAGGATATTACAGAAATTAAACTAGCATAATAACAAGAAAACCTAGGAAAAAAATTAAATCCCATTGGATAAGAGCACCTATCACTCTCCTTTTTTTCAAACAAACAATATATGGTTATGCGGAAATAGTGAATTTTCACCGAATTTACCCACAGACAAACACAAAAGAATAAATAAATATATCAATATGAAATAAATATATCAATCTATAAGATGAAAAAACTAGATAAATATATATAAATTGTTCTCTCAGCCTATGGGATGAAGAGACTAGTGGATAAAATTTGATATTTAAAATATAGCACACTTACATCAACTCTCTGGATCATTGAACTCTCTGCATCATTGGCCGCTTTTGTTTAGCTAAGAAATTAGCTAAGAAATCAATGGAACTCTCTGCAACCGCTGGCCTAAGAAATGAGGAAATCAATTGTAATGGTAAAATAAATGTTAGATAGGAAATCAATTTTCCATTGTAATTGTAAAATAAATGTTAGATAGGAAATCAATTGTTATGTAAAAGATATGCGATTCGAAATCAATTGTAAAATAAAAGGTTTTAGTTAGCAAGAAAATCAATTATAAAAGATTTTATGTTTGTACGAAATTCGTGTACTATGGTTGCTAGCCAAATAAACTAGCTTATAATTTTACTACATTTAAATAAACTTCATTTGGTAGGACCACTTCTTTGGGTAGCTTTTCAAATAAGTTCGATGAATTTTTATTTCACCTAATTTATCAGCTAATTTTGACCAAACACTTTTATTAAGCTAGTTTTCAGCCATAAGTCATAAGCTATCAGTTATATGCTCAAAATTCATTGAAAAACTATAAGCTAGCTTATCAACTAAAATTTACTAAACATAGCTCATGTGTATTTGAAAAATAATATTATTAAAAAATAGAAAAATAAATATACAACAAATAATGGATAACTAGGAGAGTGGGAATTGTTCAAAGTGACACGTGTTTATACCATTATATTGTCAAAAAAGACAACAATTTTACTTACATTTATAAGTTATATAAATCTAGCACAAATATTATCTACAACTCCGCTAATGTAATTTCAATCTTTTATTTTCCAAACTTGATTATTTTGGCTTTTTTTATATGTGATGAATGTTAACACAAAGATCGTAAAAAATGTATTAATTTAATAAATCATATCTGAAAAATAGAATATTGGTAAGAAGTTATTAAATTTTAAAATATGATAAAAAAAATATGGTATTTAATAAACTAAATAAATTAGAATAAACAATATCAATTTTGTATGAGGATTACATTTGGGAAAGAAAAAATGACAAAAATAAATGCATATTTAACAAAATTGCAAATAAATTATTTATGTCAAATACCAATCTTGGTTTCAAAGCAATAATATTTATACGATAATTACAAAGCACATAATTTTGTTATGTCATTATCCGAAGAGTGCTAATCTTTCACTTAGGCTCAATACGTTTTGAATTAATATATATATGACAATGGCAATTTAAATTTTAAGTGGACCAAGCGTTTTACAATTAAAATAAAAAAATATTAGGCATGAATAAAAAGTCATATCTACACGTATTACTTTGAATTATCAAAATTCAAACACATTAGGAAACATGAAAATAAACACACAGGCTTCCAATGTATCATAATTTATAGTTAGATTCATAAATTTTGAATTTACAAATAAATAGGGAGGGATTTATTTGATATTTGATTTACTCCATGTGATGATGTATATTTATTTTCTTAATATGATTAGCCAATACTTTTAATTGCTGCGGGTATTATAATAATAATAATAATAATAATAATAATAATAATAATAATAATAAGTATTGTTATGAAGAAATGTTAAAATAATGAGTGGCAGAAAATGATGTAGACGCATAGTTTTTAAACCTACGGGAATTAACCGGACAGGCCTTTGGGTCACCAAGTTAATTGCTAAACCGGATAATTAAGTTTAAAAATTTTAAATTATATATATTTTATTTTATTATATAAATATACATAAAAGTGACATGAATATATCTTTTGTAATAAATTTTGTATTTCAAAGTGTTAATTATTTTGTATCTCTTAATAAATATTTACTATATAAATATATATAGATATTTTTTTTAATATATATACATATATATATATTTTTTTTTAAAAAAAAAAAATATTGACGGGTCAAATCGGGTTTACCCGACCGGGTCGATGCCTAGATCGACCGAGTCAAGGCGGGTGGACAGGGTTTGATCTGGTTTGTTGTCATCAGGTCCGAAGTACCCACCTTGACCAGTCCTGGCGCCGAGTCGATCCACCGGTTCGATCTGGGTTGAACAACTATATGTAGAAGTGTGTATTATGTAAAGTTATATTTTTTGTAGCATGAATTTATACTATTATCAATATAATTTGGGTAGCTTATTTTTTTTAAGGCCAATGGCAATGTAGACTATAGTCTAACGGTTAAGACTAAAGTTGACTATAACAAAATTGGCCGACATTAATCACCTCAATTTACAGAAGTGTACAAATAAATTTTGAAAAAATAAATTACTTTAATTATAATTTCATTAGATTTTCAATTTTAGTGATTGGTTGTTGATTAGATACTATTCATATAAAACGTTATACTATTGAAACATCGGTGCGGCCTAGTGATTTTCCACGTCTTTTATGGACATTTTACATATTTATTATATTTTTTGTTTCAAAATTTTACAAAAAGTATGATTATTTAAATAAAATCATTAATAAACTATTAATAAATTATAAAACAATGAAATTTAAAAATCAATAATGACAAACCAACCACTTATAAGCGTAAAACGTTAGTATATTTGCAATAAATAAAATGTAAGAAAAAAATATATTTGAAACGAATAAAATGTACATAAAAAAGGATTTGCAGGTGAATAGCGTAATTTATGTGCTCCATTTTAATGTCCATTTGGTCGCTACCTATATAACCAGTGAAGATGGGTTGCGAATGAATCTTCATGTTAAATATTTAGGATAAGTTCGGATTGGAAAATCAGCGAGCTCGTTTGATTTGAGTATGCACATGTTCTTGTTTGTCCCCCGTTTCCCAAATTTGAAGATGTGGTGCATTTATTTTGAAAATAAAAGTGTATTTTGGTTACACTAATGTAAATAAAGAAATTTGTGGCCATCAAATAGCGCCGTGGAGATTAATATATTAAAAATTAAGTCATATTTTTTATTTATATTTTAGAAATTTCTACATATTTAATTCCTAAATTTAAATAATTATTTAATTGATATTTTAATATTTTAATTCTTGACCAATCAAATAGGGCGTTACTATTCACCGCCCCGCATTTTACTAGTTACCGCCCCCCTTGGACAATTTTGCCCTTCTCATTTTTTCTAAACATATCAGACAATTTATAAAAAAATACGTGTCCGGCCGCCGGTTCCGGACAGCTTATAGCCTGTCCGGAACCGGCGTCCGGACGGCTTAAAGACCGTCCGGAACCGGCGTCCGGACGGTTCAAAGACCGTCCGGAAAGCATGGCCGGTCGGACCGGCCGTGTCCGGACAGGCCGGCCGGACGGCAAGAAAGCCGTCCGGAACCGACGGCCGGTCGGAACCGGTCCGTCCGGTTCGGCCGGCCGGCCGGCAATTTTTTTTATTTTTTATTTTATTTTTTTTTATTTATTATGTTATTATTCGAAATAATTATGTTATAAATTGGGCTATATTATTA